CAGCATTCAGTGTGTATGTTTTTTCTGTCAATGAATAATAAGGTCCTGTATGTTAATATATATTGTTTCCAGTAAGCACAAATACAACAGTCTGCAAGCCTGACTGACTATCATAAATTGGTTGTCAGCATAATTCTTAGCATATGCTGGACAACATTTTGTTAAATAATCCTGTTATGGAATCGCACCTAATGTTGGACCCTGTTTTGAGATGTGCAAGTACATGCTTATTGGGTCACGTCTTGTTCAGAACAGTTTAAGGGATATGCCTTTTGATATGGTCCCATGTTTGGCAAGTATAGCCTACATACCTGGCATCACATCTGTACTAAAATTCATCTATCACATTACACACTTGTGTGATAGGCAGAACTTTGTTTTTGGCTTGATTTCAGTACTCTGTTAGTGGTGAACACCGTTCATGTTGTTACTGCATTAGTATCAGCATGAAAGAACTGCTTCAACAGTTTATCAAACTTTTCAGGTACCTTACAATTCCAGGTAATCTACGGTAGATTGGGTGCTCTTGAGGACTAGCAGTGACAGCCTTCAACCCGTTCATGAGTTTGTGCGATGAACGGCAAGAAATAATCTGATCAGGGTAGCCGTTATCCTCCAGGATGGTTTTGATGTGTCCTACTTCAGTATCAGTATTGCAGAACAACAGCTCAGACCCTATTTAAAGGTTGTTAATGAAGCCAATCTTAAAGCCTGTGGATTTGTAGGACTCCAATGTGTACAGTATTTGTGAAGGTAGATTTGTGATAAACAGCAGTAGAAAACCCCTGAGCTAAATTCTTAACGAGGACCTCAAGAAACGTGTGCTGTGTTGACTGGTCCATTTCAAAGATAAATTTAAGTACAGCTTGGAGCCCATTAAGACATATAAAGAAATTCTTGCACCCAGCTGTGGAGTCAAATGTAGCAAAGGTATCATCAACATATCAGAAATATGCAAGGGATAGGTGTCATTCATGGAAGACCAGTTTCTCATGGAGCCCAACAAAAATGTTTGAGAGGCCTAAAGGGAATCCCATGGAAACACTATCGATTTGGACATGTTTGGTGTTGTTTAAAACTAGCACAACAGTGCAAGTTACTGAGATGGCAGGTTCAACAAGTAGTGATTGACACAACGGTGGCAAGTCTAGATCACCACAATATCTTGCTTCAGGACTTTTTTGGCTTTTGAGTCTTTGTGGCTTTTTTGAGTGGTACCTGGTGAGTAGACTAGCAATGTCAAACAAGCACATGGACACTGTGTTGCGATTGACATGTAAGTCCTGCTTAGTCTTTGCAAATGTGAAGGAATCCTTCAATGTGTGGAGAATTTGCTCAAAACTGATTGTAACAGTTCATGCAACCACTTGGTCAGTTCATGTTGTACAGAACTGGTTATGGATAACATAAAGCATAAAGAGCCATCACTTTTGTGTGTTCTGGGTAGCCTGTACCTGGGTGGATTCGGGGAACCATGAAGACAAACCCAATCATATATCACCTAGCAGGTCAGTTCATGGATGCAGTAACCCTTTTCTAGCTTGCTTTTGAGTAAGACTGTCCAGGCACAGTGAGTAACAGGTCCAGTGTACAGAATTTGTTGAGAATGACATGGTGTTTATGTTTTTGATATGATGAGTTATGGTGTTAAGAATGGCAGTCTGGATGATCACATCTTCGGTAATTGTGACCTGAATGACCACCCTGATTGTTGCGTTTTGGAGCTCAAAGTTAGCTGCAGGCACAGTTGCACAGAAAGCACGTTTTGAGATGGGATCACCTTGCACCTTAAACATATCCAGTCAATAAGGGAATGAGTGATCACCAGTCAGAAGAAGGGAGGCAGTCAAGAAAGCCCTACTGTGCATCTCTCTCAATAGATTTTCTGTGTTGGACAATGGTAAGAGTGATAGTCCTTGTGGGAAATGAAGCCAGAGCCTAGCTGCACAAAGGGAAGCAGAAAGAGAACTATAGTGGTAACAGTCTCAATGAGAAGTACAGACAGGTTTTTCAGCAGCTGTGTGACTCTACCGTGCTGTGTTGCCTCCCTGGGGCTACGCCAGAGATGTTCCTGAGTAGCGGTAGGGCATTCTGAAGCAGGAGGGCAAACAGTCAGATATCATGGTTCACATTTGGACCATATGGAGTACATCTTGGATGGACCTTAGGAGGTACAGAGGATCAGAGGGACCTCAGTGTGCATGTCATAAATCCTTGAAGGCAGCAGGTCAGTTCGATAAGGTCGTTAAGAAGACCGATAGATACTTGCCTTTATTAGTTGAGGCCTTGAATACAAGGAGGTCATGATGGAGCTGTATCTGTTAGTTAGTCCACAGCTGGATTACTGTGTGCGGTTTTGATCCCCACACTATAGGAAAGATATGTTTGCACTAGAGATGGTGAAGAAGAGATTTACCAGGATGTTGCCCTGACTGGAGCAGTTCATCAATGAAGAGATTTTAAGTAGGCAGGTTTTCCTTCGAGCAGGGAAGGCTGAGTTGGGACCTGACTAAGGTGTATAAAATTATGACGGGCTTAAATATGGTAGATAGAGAGAAATTTTTCTCCTTCGTAAAGGAGTCAATAACCAGGGGGCATGGATTAACGGTAAAGATTTAGATGGGATTTAAGGAAGAATTTTTTGACACCCAGAGGGAGGTAGGCATCTGTAACTCACTGCCTGAAAGGGTGGTAGAGTTGGGAAGCCTTGCAATGTTTAAATATTTAGATGAACACTTGAAATGTCACAGCATACAAGGCTACAGGCTAAGTTCTGGAAAATAGAATGAGAATAGATGGCTGGTTTGACTGATATGAACACAATAAGTTGAAGAGCTTCTTTCTAAACTGTAAAAATAACTGACTATCCCAATCCCTTTGGATTTTCAGATGTCGGATTGGCCTGGAGGCTTTGTGACACTGCCGGACATTCAAGTCGTGTGTGAAAGTCAGACAAGTTGTCTGAAATCCCAAAATGTACATGACTAGATCAGCACTGTGTGCTTCGAATGAATTGCATCAGTGGAAGCTGGTTTGAGGCAGGATAGCCAATTTATATTCTAAACCATTAGTCAGTTAGGCAGGTTCATGGCAGATTTTACATGTGCTGATGTGCAAATACATTTGAGCATTAACTGAGAGAGAAATACTTCTCAGAACTAGCACAGTGCCTAATCCGCAATTGTATACAAATCAGAAACTACCTTTCCAGCATCTACAGTCGTTTGTTTGTTTGTTTTTCAGAAATGACTTAGACCACAAGACGTAGGAGCAGTAAGTAGAAGCAAAGGTTGAGTCTGCTCCTCCGTTCAGTAAGATCATGGCTTTAGGCCTGCAGGTTGAAAACAAAGAAGGGATCTGTCCTATGTGAGACATGTGAAAGTATTGTTTTGTATGAGGCTGCATCAAGCTGTGTATAGACCCTCAGTACGTAAACACCAAGTGTGACTAAGTTCTGAGATTCCATCTGTGCCCAGTGTTACAAAGGATGGGACTGGTCTCATTGCTGCAGAATGCTCCAAATAGTTGGACTGGTCTGTATCACCTGTCTTTCATGGAGAAATTTGCCAAGAAAAACACCTTTGACCACAAGTCCACCAGGAAGTGGTCAGCACCTAATACCCTTGAGACCTTCCGGAAAAGGAGAGAGTGGATCCTGTCATGTGATTCCCTGAGCAGGCTGTCAAAGTCATTTGGTAGAATGCCTCACCACCAGAATTTTCCAACAAACACCAAGGCATCACTTGGCTGGTGGTGAGAAAGGGCACTACCTGTGAGATAGCAGGAACTGCCGATGCTGGAAACCGATTTCGGGTTTCCTGACCCGAAACGTCGGCTTTCCTGCTTCTTTGATGCTGCCTGGCCTTCTGTGTTTGTCCAGCTCCACACCTTGTTATCACTACCTGTGAGATCCTTGTTTTACACTCGGTCGATCCATGCCACCGCATGCTGCCCATGAAGCAGCTGCAGGAGGGTTGGGACTGTCACCTACTGCCTCCTGGAATGTGCCTTTGCAAAGGGAGTCTGGAGAGAGGTGCTGTGGATTTTGTCAAGGTTCGTCCTGAGCAGCTCCGTGACACAGGACTCTATGCTGTATGGTTTATTCCCCAAGACAAACATTCAGCTCAATGAAAGACACTCTTTGGTCTGGTCAAAATTTCTTGGTCTTCCAGAACCTCGACCGAATGTTGCAGACTCCACATTCCAAGGTCCAGGACAATGAGCTGAGGGACTCACTAAAGCTTGGGTCAGCTGCTGTTAAGGCGCAGTGGGGAAAGACCTCTGTCTGAGTTCTCCCTGCTTAAGTAAATGTGGGTCCGTTCAGTTATCGGACCCTCCGAGTGCCTTAAATGCATGTAAATATATTCTGTAAGAGATGTCTTTGTTTTGTTTGAATAGAATCAAACTCCTTGATACGCTACCATACAGAACCAAACTGCGTTTGTGACCATGTACAAATATAAAGATACTTTTTATGCATAAAGTACATTTTTGAAATAAAAATGATGTGAAAGTAATGTGGGTTCATGAGCTTTCCAGTCCGATTTTCACTTTTCTCCCACCTCTCATTTTTTGTAACTATTTTCAGTTCGAACGACGACCTATTTTCTGTTTCCTCACTTGCTCCTTGCGGTGGGTGAATTCTCCCTTTCGTCGTTGGTGACCTGTTATGATATAGTGATATCATACAGCACCCTTAACAGACCAGAGCAAACAAAAACATTTCAAAAAGTGGTAGAGTTTGATATGCTAGAATAGAACTGGATGGAGCGCTAATCAATTTTTTTTTAACGGGGAAAATTTTGCATTGCTGTCGCCTTTCGACCAGGATTCCTTTGGTTTTGTCTGAAAGGGTAAAAGAGGGTTTAATAATATCTGAATCTTGCTCCGTCTTAAGTTGAGAGGTTGCGGCGCGTCGCTGGGCGGCGCTTCAAGATTGCGTGGCCTTTTAAAACGAAAAGGTGCAAAGTTCGGTAACGTAAGCCCGATTCTCCTTGCAGAATTTCAACCACTGTGTGCTTGCCGGAGCCATGGCATACCTTGGCAAACTTTTCAAGTACATCGATGACAACCAAGATCTGTACATAACAGTAAGTCATTTTGTTGTTGCTGCACTTATTCTCCACTTTTTTTTATGTTTCCTTTTACTAAAGACTTTGTTAGAAATGTTCTACAGTATATTTTTAAAAGATAGAACATTCATAATCTGAGCAATGTGAGAGGAAATTTGGTGTTAGATCTGTTGATTTGTGAGTCTGCTGGAAATGAAATAGTCAGAAAACGTGTCTAATGTCTTTTGCTGCACTCCGTAAAATCGGAGGACGTTTCCTGCCTTTTTCCGACATGTAAACAGATATAATATGCACTCAGTATTTCCGTAAACCTGAGTGTAGAGCAGACATGAAGAAGGGTCCAGGCCCGTAACGTCAGCTTTCCTGCTCCTCTGATGCTGCTTGGTCTGCTGTGTTCATCCAGCTCTACACCTTGTTGTGAGGAAGGGTCACCGGACCCGAAACGTTAACTCTGTTTTCTCCTCCACAGATGCTGCCAGACCTCCTGAGCTTTTCCAGCAACTTTGTTTTTCTACACCTTGTTATCTCTGTAGAGCAGACACCTTTGCAACAATCATTTCAACAGAAAAAAAAATTGGCACTGATGATGTGTGCAGTTAATAGGTTAGAAGACTGGATACAGTAGGGAGAGATTGTGTCTGCAGTCTGGGGCAGGATGTGACAAGATCTGACTTTACCTCTTGTCAGTCTCGTGTATCCCCTTCAAATGATACCTTGAAACGGTTTCGAGAAGAAAAAGCACAGATTCCTGGGGAACAGGCCACCAAAGAGATTGTGTGAAAATGATGAAGTGGTGAGTGTGGGTGGAGTGATTAAAATTAGTTACCCTGTGCCTTGAGGTTGTTCATCATGTTTGCACCACTCTGCTCACTGACCCGATGACACTAAGAGATGAAGGGGACAAAGTAAGGACTAGACTCTGTCAGGGCATGGGGGAGCTAGCGACCCTACACCCTGTCTCTGTGACCTCATCTCGGCTCCCGACTCTCAGACTTAGAGCTGCTGCACTATATCCGGAAGTACATAGAGTAGAATTGAGTCTACCACACAAATTGAACAGTTGGCCTAACAGTCTATACTTGTGTTTTGAGTTCCATGTAAACCTGCTTTCAGCTCTCTACATTGAACCCTATCAACAGGTCTTTCTATTTGTAAGTCCAGTATGCTTTTATCAGACTTCACTTTAACTGACCTTTGCTATTTGTTTGTTCTTGCCACTGTTTAGGAAAAGTGGTTCTTCTGAATTCACACTCTCTTACATTAGTGACGAGCTTATGTTTCTGATCTCTAATTTTGGAGACCCCAGTGAGTGGAATTGTTTTCTGACCATCTACCCTCTGAAACCCTTCCTTAATCTTAAAGGCTGTAATCAGCCTTCAGCCTTCTCACCTAGAAAAGAAGAGTCCTTAAATGTTCAACCTTCCACAATAAGTTATCCTCACCACCCTCCATCTTTTTTTGCACCCTCCCCAATGCTTCTGTATTTCTGCAGTGCAGAGACCAAAGGTTATCATAATGCAGTCTGTTAAATTTGCATTAAATTAATCATAACTTCTCTACTTCTCAATTCTATCCCTGCAGAAATGAATCTCGGTGCGTAGTTTGGAAATTGCCTTGTGTGCTGATTTGATTAATGCTAATTTGTTCAAGTTGGTCTTCTCTATGTTTTTCCTTTTTTCCTCTCTATTTAGAGTCCTAGAGCAGTACAGCATGGAAACAGACCCTTTGGTTCAACTCATCCATGCCAAACAGATATCCTAAATTAATTTAGCCCCATTTGCCAGCATTTGGCCCATATCCCTCTAAACCCTTCCTAATTGTGTACCCATCAAGATGCCTTTTTAAATGTTATAATTGTACCAGCCTCCACCACTTCCTCAGGCAGTTCATTCCATACACTCACCACTCTATGTATGAAAAAGTTGCCCCTTAGGTCCCTTTTAAATCTTTCCCCTCTCAACTTAAACCTATGCCCTTTAGTTTTGGACTCTGTTACCCTGTGGAAAAGACCTTGGCTATTCACCCTATCCATGTCCCTCATGATTGTATAAACCTCTATAAGGTCACCCCTTAGCCTACTGCACTGAAGGGAAAATAGTCCCAGCATATTCAGCCCCTGCCTATAGCTCAAACCCTCCAACCCTGGCAACATCTTTGTAAATCTTTTCTGAACTGTTTCATGTTTCACAACATCCATCCTATAGTAGGGAGACCAGAAATGCCTGCGGTATTCCAAAAGTGGACTAACCAATGTCCTGTACAGCTGCAACATGACTTTCCAACTCCTACACTCAATGCACTGACCACTGAAGGCAAGCATACCAAACGCCGCCTTCACTATCCTGCCTATCTGCGACTCTACTTTCAAGGAACTGTGAACCTGCACTCCAAGGTCTCTTTTGTTCAGCAGCACTCCCCAGGACCTTGCCATTAACTGTATGAATCCTGCCCTGAGTTGCCTTTCCAAAATGCAGCTCCTCAACATTTATCTAAATTAAACTTCATCTGCCGCTCCTTATCTATTCAGCTTATCTGAACAAGTCCCACTATTCTCTGAGATATCCTTCTTGGTTGACTACTACACCACCAATTTGATGTTATCTGCAAACTTACTAACCATACCTCCTGTGTTCATATCCAAATCATTTATATAAATGATGAAAAACAGTGGACTCAACATTGACCCTTGTGGCACGCTGCTGGTCACAGGCATCCAATCTGAAAAGCAACCCTCCACCACCACCCTCTGTCTTCTACCTACAAGCCCGTTCTGTATCCACATGGCTAGTTCTCCCTGTATTCTATGTGATCTAGCCTTGCTAACTAGTCTACCATGTGGAATCTTGTTGAACACCTTACTGATGTCCATATAAATCACTTGCATCACTCTGCCTTCATCAATCTTCTGTTACTTCTTCAAAAAAACTCCAACGTTAGTGAGACTCAATTTCCCATGCCTAATAAGTACTTGCCTTTTCAAATACATGTAAATCCTGCCTACCACTGATGTCAGACTCATGGCTCTATAGTTCCCTGGATTTTCCTTACCACCTTTTTTAAACAATGACACCACGTTAGCCAATTTCCAGTCTTCCGGCACCTCACCTGTGGCTATCGCTGATACAAATATCCCAGCAAGGGGCCCAGCAATCACTTTTCTAGCTTCCCACAAATCTCCAGTCTAACCTGATCAGGTTCCAGGGATTTATCCACCTTTGTGTTTTAAAACATCCAGCAGCACCACCTCTGTTATATGGACATGTTTCAAGATGTTGCTATTTATTTCTTCAAGCTCTCTAGGTTCTGTATCCTTCTCCACAGTAAACACTGATGCAAAATACTCTTTTAATATCTCCCCCATTTCTTTTGGTTCCACACAAAAGTGGACTTGCTGATCTTTATGGAGGCCTAATCTCTCCCTACTTTCCTTTTTGTCCTTCATGTATTTGTAGAATCCCTTTTGGATTCTCCTTAAACCTATTTACCGAAGCTATATCATGTCCCCTTTTTGCCTTCCTGATTTCCCTCTTAAGTATACTCCTACTGCCTTTATACTCTTCTAGGGATTCACTGGATCCCTGCTGTCTGTACCTGACAAATGCTTTCTTCTTTTTGACCAAAATCTCAATTTCTCTAGTCATCCACCATTCCCTACACTGGCCAGCCTTACCCTTCACCATAACAGGAAAATATTGTCACTGCACTGTCTTATTTCATTTTTGAAGGCTTCCCATTTTCCAGCAGTCCCTTTCCCTGTGAATATCTAGCCCCAATCAAGTTTTGAAAGTTCTTGCCTAATACTGTCAAAATTGGCCTTCCTCCAATTTAGAACTTTAACCTTTAGATCAGTCTATCCTTTTCCATCACTATTTTGAAACTAATAGAATTATGATCACTGGCCCCAAAGTGCTTCCCCACTGACATCTCGGTCCTACCCTGCCTTATTTCCCAAGAATAGTTCAAGTTTTGCTCCTTTTTTCGTAGGTACATCCACATACTGAATCAGAAAGTTTTCTTGTACGCACTTAACAAATTTCTTTCCATCCAAGCCCTTAACACAATGGCAGTCCCAGTCTATGTTTGGAAAATTAAAATCCCCTACCGTTACCGCCCTGTTATTCTTGCAGATAACTGAGACCTCCTTACAAATTTGCTTCTCAGTTCCACCTAAGTAACTTCCCTAGATGTACTTCTAGGAATATCCTCTGTAAATATAGCTGTAATGTTACTTCTAATCAAGAAACGCCCACCCACCATCCTTTGTATAGCATCTATACACTGGCACGTTAAGCTGTCAGTCTTGTCCATCCAATCCAGGTACAAGCCATCCTTCTTGTATAGGTCACGTCTACCCCAGAAGAGATTCCAATGATCCATAAATGTGAATCCTTCTCCCCTACACCAGCTCCTCAGCCACGCATTCATCTGCTCTATCCTCCTACTCCTACCCTCACTAGCTTGTGGCACCAGGAGTTATCTAGAAATTACTACTCTCGGACCTACTTTTTAAATTCCTGCCTAATTTCCTATATTCTTTCCTCGGAACCTCATCCTTTTCTCTTCCTATGTTGTTAGTTCTAATGTGTACAACAACCTGCTGCTCCCTCTCCCCTTTGAGATTATTCTGAACCCTGTTTGAGATATCCTTTATCCGAGCACCAGGGAGGCAACACACCATTCTGACGTCTCGTTGTCGACCCCAGAAACGTCTGACGAGAGAGTCCATCTTCGCCATCGATCACTTAAAACCTTTTGATACGTTAGAGCCAGTCTCTGTACCAGAAACGTGGCTGTCAGTGCAACATTCCCCTGAGAGTCCGTCACCCCCTGCATTTTCCAAAACCGCTTACTTGTTTGAGTTGTGGATAGCCACAGGAGACTCCTGCACCACCTGCCACCCCTCCTACCTTTCCTGGAGGTATTAACACTTAAAACATTTGTGCTGTCTTGTTGCTAGCCATTCAACCAGTCATCCCTAGCCTTCCCAGCCTCGCACTAATTACCCTGTGAGATTCTGTTAAAATGTTGGCTGTGCCTAGAAACAAAAAGCTAGAAACCAGAGAACTAAACCTCTCCTGTGTGTGGATGCACTGTGTTTGGTTCTTATTATTGGGATAGTGCACTGGAAATCAACCCCACTATTCCCGGAGTTGTCACAGAAGTTAAAGATTTTAAAGATAAGCAAATTCCTGAATCTTTTAGACCCAGGATGAGAGAAAGCAAGGACTGGGTTTCTGGCTTAACCAGAAAACATTATTTATGGCAAGTAAATGGATTCTAGGTACAGGTAAATTATTATGAACTGTTGGCATATAACTCTACTAGTTAAACACTAACCCCCTTTATAAACTCCCCCTTAGACACACGCACACACACAGGAAAAGAAAACATGGGTGTTATGGGATGAGGGAAGAGCTAGGAAGGCAGTTCACTGCTTCCTTTTCACATGATCAACTGAGATCGTTCTTGTGCCAATTGGAATGCTGTTTCTCAGTCCTTTTCCAGATGCTTTTACTGATTTGCAGGAGGTACAGACGACTGATTCGCACACATAAAAGGCCTTCTATGCATTTCTTAAGTCAAAGTTTGTAGCACCTGATGAACAAAAAATAAATGGGTTTTCTTCGGCCTTTAAAGTGGGCTTTGCTGCAGAGAACAGATCCCGTTCCTGAGCTGGTGGAGATCTGATCACTTCTCTGTCTCTTGCTCACATCCCCAAGCTGTTCAGTTAGCTACAAACCACTCACATTGTTGGCAGGTGGAAGGCCTTTGTCATCAATAATTTGTCACTAATCCAGAGACCAATCAGCTACTTGTTGGCAACCAAATCTCCACAACCCTTTGGCTCCAGCTTGTCTGCCAACCACTGTTGGAACCAGTGTTTACAATAAGGGTCAGGTTACTTGCTTTCCAAAACATGGAGCAATCCTTGGCTTTGAAACAGTTCTTTTCCCATGTCAGTCCACCATTAATAACACAAAAATAAAAAGATGTCATCTTTACATTCAATATGCAGTATTGATGTTGGGGATCAGTGCTGTGAAGAATACAGCCTTTACTTCAGCTACTTAATCATATTTGAAGCTTTTTTCCAGTACAAACCCCCTACATAATCTCAGTTGACGAGTAATTCCAATTTAAATGTGAAAATCACTGACTTCGTTTTTATTAGACTTCAGTTTAATCAACTGTCTTGTTTCCCTAGCGTCTCGCAGATTGGGTGACCATTCAGAGTGTCTCAGCATGGCCAGAAAAGAGAGATGAAACCCGAAGAATGGTGGAATTTGTGGGCAAAGAGATAGAGAAACTGGGGGGATCTGTGGAGCTGGCTGATATTGGGCAACAAACGGTGAGAACCAAACTTTAGCTTGAAACTTTCTTCAAATTTTTATAAACATGCCTCTTCCAAATTTTTTTTCCTTTTTACTCTTTCCTTCTCAAAGCGTTTTGAATTCCTTGGGGCCGATAGCCCACTCGTGCCTTTTGGTAGCTCGACAGTTTTATTCATGTGGTCGGTTCTTTTGGAATTCTATGTCCAAAATGATACACACCCCTTGCTCTCTTGCGCTCACTTTCTGCAATAAAGTTTTTTACAATCTTTCATAAATTTGTCATCTTATTGTATACAAAGTAATTTTTCTTTATTTTAAATTAGCTGCCTGATGGATCAAAGATCCCTCTTCCTCCCATCCTATTGGCTACACTAGGCAATGACCCAAAAAAGAAGACTGTATGTATCTATGGTCACCTGGACGTTCAACCTGCACAAGTCAAGGATGGATGGGACACTGAGCCCTTCACACTGGTTGAGAAAGATGGTGAGAAGATTTCTGTTTGTCCTTAATCGTTATTGAAAATCCATTTGCTAGTTTGTGTTCTGGAATCAGACATTGCTGAAAGCAGGCTTGTTCATTTGGTGTCTGACCTTTCGCTTCATTCTGACCAAGCGAGTCTGCAAAACAGTTCAAGTTTTCAAAAAAATATAATTAGGGCTGCTCAGTAAAAGAAGTGAAAGCGACATAAGGAGAAATCTTTTTGTGCAGCAAGTGGTTCACATCTGGAACGTACTGCCTGAGAATGTGGTTGAGGCAGGTTCATTTGAGGCATTTATACCATTGTGGCATTGTCACTGGACTATTGATCCTGAGACCCAGGCAAATACTCTGGGGACGTGAGTTCAAATCACATTGATTCAAATTTCACCATCTGACCCGTCACAATGAAAATCTGGAATTAAAAAATTCTAATTGCAATCACTGACTATTGTTATCAAAACCCAACTGGTTCACTAGTGTCCTTTTAGAGAAGGAAATTTTCCACCCTTACCTGGTCAGGTCTGCATGTGACTTCAAACCCACATCAATATGGCTGACTCCTAGCTCCCCTCTGAAATGACTCTAGAAGCCACTCAGCTGAAGGGCATTTAGGGATGGGCATCTGCTTAGTCTATAAACTAGTTCACTACTGAACTTTGTTTTATAACTTGTGAAATTTGCACACTCATCATTTAGGTTGTGAGTTGCATACCACACTACTAAGGCATTATACCTTCCCTTATAGTCGTAAAGCATTAATCGCTCTTTTCTTCTCATACTTCCATGGAGATTACATCTTAGTCCAAATTGCTATTATTTGATCATGTGCAGCGTTATTAGCATTATTAGTTTGCCTAGTTGCCTTGAAGCAGCAATTTTGACTTTCAATTTTGGCCTTAGGAAATGTGTTTCAACATTTTATTGCAGCCTTGTTTTCAGATCCTGTTCTCAACAGTTACATTTATTTTGAAAAAGAGGCAGCTGCCATCACTTTAAAATCACGAGAAAGGAAACTGTGAAGTAATCAGGAACTGAAAACCATTTTTTGTTTAACAAAAGTCATGTATGTGAATATTTGTCGTTGTTGGTTTGAGGTTACTTTGAAAGTATCAGCAATTTGTCAAAGACTGAGTTCTGAACATATCTTAAAAAAACGTTAGTCAATGACATTATCCCTGCTTTCCGCTTCCTGGAATTTCTGAGGCTGCTGTACTTAGAATTTTGTCATATATATTGTCCTTTTTTTTTGATAATACACCAACTGTTCTACTATTTTCAATTTTAAATTCGGGTATGCACTGAAAATGCTGAAATTGTTCACTGTGAATGCCTGACTTTTGGACTTTTTCATAATCTTCTGCTGCTGTTTTTAATGCTGGGATCTGCTCCTGTTTTTCTGCTCATGTTAGTCACATCAACACATTAGTCACAACTGTTTTTTTTCCTTTGGAGACCAAACCATTTTTATTTGCATAGATCTGGACAAGACAGCAGAATGATGAGGTTTTCTCCGCATCATTTATTACAGATCGTCCTGGGTTGAGGAACCTTGCCAGATCTGTAAACGGGATGTTCAAATAACAATTGCACCTTCTGAGATTACCCCTTGCTGTCCAGATAAGTAGGCCAGGAAATGTGTTAATTGGGGATACCTTTAGACATCTGCTTGGACTAGATGTCAGAATTAATTAAACTTTAGGTTTTTGCCCGTTGTAAATTTTGCCGCTTAAAATGAGTTGAGTTATCTGTTATATCAGTGAAGAGGAAATTATGTTGGAATATCACTCTTCAGCAATTTATTACTGCTGCCCCTAATTGCATTTAAGAGGAAACTACATGAGTTCATGAAGAAGAGAGGAATAGATGATGCTAATCATTTGGGATGAGGAAACATATGGAGATCCATGTGCAGTGTAAACATGACTGGATTGAGTTGATTTGAATCATTTATTGTCACATGTATTCAATATAAAATACAGTGAAAAGTTTATATTGTCACCATGCATTGGCACCATTCTCATTAACATAAAATAAAGAATAAAGAAACATAATTTAGAGTCCAACTTTTCCTTCGCCGCCGCTGCCACAGTCCTGCTCTGGGTTTCACCAGCCCACATCACTCCGCTGCCACAGTCCCACTCCAGCCCATGATTGTGGACCAATTCAACTGAATAGTCTGTTTCAGTGTTGTAATTGCGTGTAAGGATTTCATTCTCAATCTTTTTACTTGTCCTGTATAGCTAGAACATAAGCTATCGGAGCAGAAGTAGGCTGTTGAGCCCGTTGGATCTGCTCCAACATTCAATTAGATCATGGCTGATTTAATAGCACTTAAGTCTCCCTTCCTGCTGTTTTCCCCATAACCCTTGATTCCCTTACAGATTTAGAAATCTATTTATTCGTTGACCATCCATTGAGTTGGATTGGTCAGATAAGACTATTTTGCTAACACTCTTGTCATTTAGTGTTTTGTTTTAAATTGCTTTAATAATACTCTCCTTTTACAGTCACTGTCCATTTCCACTCTGCTCAATCCCCACAGTGGTTTGCTGATCTGTTTGGTGTGTTCCAGCTATCTTTAAGCAAGCTCAGATTCAGTCTGCAGCCCCTGTTTCCTAGCTTCTTGGTTCAAGATTCCTGTTGACTGATATCAATAATACTCCTTTCTATTCTCTTCAGAGGTTCAGCATTCTGTTGGACAAGATTTGCCCAAGTTAATAATAAAATTCAATATTTTTCTGGGTGTTGTAACAAAATCAGATCTCTATCTGTTAGCTAGCTTTTTATTGTGAAGGTTAGAAAACTGATTGATTGAAGTCCTAAATTCATAAAATAATAGAATTCCTACAGTACAGAAGCAGGCCATTCAGCCCATCGAGTCCTCACTGAATCTCTGAAGAGTATCCCACCCAGACCCAACCCCTTACCCTATCCCTGTAACCCCACATTTTTCATGGTTAATCCAGCTAGCCTGCATATCCCTGAATGCTATGGGCAATTCAGAATGGCCAGTCCACCTAACCTGTACATCTTTGGACTGTGGGAAGAAACCAGAGCACCCGGAGGAAACCCATGCACACACGAGGAGAATTGTGCAAACTCCACACAGACAGTCGCCTGAGGGTGGAACCAAACTCAAGTCCCTGGCGCTGTGAGGCAGCAGTGCTAATCACTGAAGCATTATCAGAGTAATTTTATTTGAGATGCTTCTGAAACTTGGATATTTCAATAAAGTGCGAGTTTTGTCAAGAGAAAGCATTCAGTGTCTGTCACAAGGCTCCTGGTTGAGCTCATTTAAATAAAATTTTCAGGGAAAATTCTTCTTTCTCTGTCTCAGACCGCAAACAATTGGCGATCGTCATTTTATTTAAATCTTATTTCCACTAAATAGCAACATGTGGTCAGGGCTTTTGTCTTGCAATCATCAGGACTGGGATGCAAGAAAACCAGAGTGCTGATTGTTTGGACCATCATGAGCGTAGAGATGTAGCCAGAACTTAACTGTCGACCTTGGATCTTGACCTTCGTTCACTGGGCTCAATGTGACACGCTTGAGCATTCCAGCAACTATGTTTATTAGCAAGCAGTACCCTGTTCTCTGTAGACAAAAAGAACTTATACACACTGTACCTTTCTCATTGGGAAAGGGTGTTGTGGACTGTTAATCCCTACTACTTTCCCTAGCAACCCTGAGCCATCAACGTCTGCCTGCTTGGTTTGAGAACTAAGATTGAAAGTTAACTGTGTTTGCTATATCTGTGTGCCAATGGTGGGCGCAGCAAGTGCAGGAAAATGTGATTAATACAGTTTAGTGGTGTTGGTCAACATAGACATGGTGGGCCACAGTCTATTTCTGTGCTGTATGACTCTATTTCTAACCGTTCCCTCTCATGCAAGACAGACAGTTTCAACTTCTCAACTCCTTTTTAGCAATGATTAATTAACTACCAAGCAATTATATATCTTTTTAATCAACCACTTCATTCATGTTTTGACACACATCCAGAGATGGTGGGACTTGAACCCAGGCCTCCTGGGATACTACCACAAAAGCCGAGTAATTATTTTATATCCTGTCTCACTTCAGACTTTTTAACCTCCTCTTAATTCTAAGCACAAACAGGTGATGGCATTTGCATAAGTGCTTACAGTTTAAATGGCTCCAACATGGTGGAGGTATTCAGTTTTTAACAAGGGTCTATGGTTGTTAAACCAGTTGATTAGCATTTATGGCAATTTCTTCAGAAGGAGGTTATTCTTAAGATTCTGTTTATCTCTGTACTGCTCTCCAATTTTCTTTATGAAAAGATTTGAAAAATTAATGGATGTAAGTTGTTTCAGAGATAGTGGGGACTGCCGATGCTGGAGAATCTGAGATAACAAGGTGTAGAGCTGGATGGCCTGCTGCGTTCATCCAGCTCTACACCTTGTTATCTTGGATGTAAGCTGTAATTCTTTTGTATTGATTTTTAAGATGTGGTTACTGATGGGATTGTTGACACTCTATTCTTCCTGTTACTTGTTTTTAACATTCTTCTGTCACTTTACAATTAACGTCAAGAAAGAGAACCTGTCCCAATTTGGTGAGGAGTTCAGGAAAGCATGTCAGGACAGCACTGGGCATACCTGAAAATGAGGTACCAACCTGGTGATGTTTTAAGACGGGGCTATTGACATACTAAACAGTTAAAAAGAAGTCGAACTAAGCAAACGATAGGATAAAAGCTCTGTGATCCCGCTACATTGATTTGGTGGACAATTGAACAACAATGGGGGAGGAGGCTCCATGAACTATCCTGTCCTGAATGACAGCAGAGCCCAACAGCTCTGTGTGTGCTGGCAATGTGGTTGAAGCATGTGCAACCACTTTCAGCCGCATATGTTGGAGATGATCAACCTGGGTTTCTTCCTGAGATCTCCAGCATCACTCATGCTATCGGTAAAGGTGACGGACTCTGAAGGCATATGTTCCAGAATAATGCATACCTCTCCCTAAGCTATTC